CCTTCCCCGCTCGGGATCCCTGACGGGGGGTCATCCGGCCCTGAGTCCCCGGCCATCTGACGATTGCAATTCCCTTGTGATTGTCCCGGTATCAGCTTGGTGGTGATGATCTTTGCGCCGAAGTTAAGGCACTGGACTTGGGGGATCCTCCCTTCCCCAAGCCAGTGCCTTTAACCCCCGTGAAACCTTAAGCAACCATACTGTTTACTGTGGCACAGTCTGATCACCGACAGCCGCTCTCATCTGTCGCGCCGGCATCTCTGCCGCGACGGCCCACTACCGCGCTACCAGTAGCTTCCCGTTACTTGAGCTGTCTCGCCAGGTTTGACCACTTGGGTTTCCCTGACTAACCAGGTGACCACAGTCACCTCGGGGTGCCCTTATCGGGTGGTTTTTACACGCAATTCCCCTTAGCTGGTATGTAATCTGACCGATTACTGTTTACACCCATACCGAGTGTCTATATGTAAGCCAACCTTTACAGGTTTTATTTTAGATATATTGGAGCCACAGCCCAATCAAATATTTTGTCCAGACCACAGTCTGGTGATGGGTCACCCTGCCAAGGCAGGTGATATTTGATAGTGCTTGGAAAAACGGCCGGGGCAGTGGGAATCGAACCCACAACCACAGGGTTCACAGCCAAGCCTGTTAACCACTGGGTTATCCAACCAGGACCCCGCCTAACCCTAACTTTATCAGTATGTTTATTAACGTGGTGAACTCCACAGCAAAGTCGTGCGGCGATTACAGGGTTGTTAGATGAGTCCCTTGCGTGCTATGGCCCGTTGTGCGGGCGCTAATTCTAAGTAAGGGCACCCCCTGCCCAATAATTCACATAAACTCCGAAAACCGCCAAGAAAATTCCCCCACACTCCCACGAATTCCCCTGACCTCGCTCTCGAATCCCCGCCGTGCCCCCGGGCTCCTTCACCTCCAGAAGCCCGTCTCCGTCCGCGTCCGCCTTCGACACCGCGTCTCGATGCGGTCGATCCATTCCACCACCTGGTCCACCGCCGCCAGGTCCAAGATATCCCTACTGGTGATCCAGTTGATCACCACATCCAGCCGTGTGACTCCAAAACGATCCGCCGGGGGGATAGTTGCGATGAAAGGTAAGAGCTCAGTATTGACTCCGGTGCACTCGAGGGCATGCACTCTGCCGAGGTCTGCCCCACACACCTTACATGGGTGAGGATGGTTGGCTGTTGTCCCCAGTTGCCAGCGTGTGAGGGAGACGCGCTGGGGGCGAGTGATGGGTGATGCCGAAGTGAGGTAGGCGCGGGGGCGAAGATCCGGTGCGAGCGGAATTGAGGCCTCGACAGCCCCCTCCACGACCGCTCGGTTCAGGTGGTCGTAGTGGTGCCTTCGGCGCTGAGCTTTGGGTAGCGGGGGTGGTGCTACGGATGGGTTTACGCGGGTGAGCGGAGTGGTCACATGATCCATAAGACTCGCCCGATTTGCCGTCGTCCATGGGTTCCGGTTGACTTTAAACCTCGGCAGAGATACTGGGAGGGGGGGTCCAGTCCATTGGAGGGGTTTGCGCGGAATGTTGGGGTTGAGCGCATTCCTGTACACGCGAATTCCGATGACATCGGCGTGGGTGCTGTTGTGGAAACGGCAAGTCCCCAGAAAGTCGATCTCGCGGCATCGGGACTCCACGAGGGGGATGCCTGTGATGCGGTGGAGGGCTACGATTGAAGTGTTGGGGGGGGCGGAGCAGATTAGTCGCAGGGCGACGTTCTGCGCCTTCTGGTACTTGGCCATCAAATCCCGACTCGGCAACTTCAGGTCCAATCCATATTCCCACACCGGCCGCACAAAGGCCTTGTAGATACGTGCTGCTGCGGCTGGAGCCCATCCAGTAACGTTCATTCCGCGTGCCTGAAGAGAGCGTGCGGTGCTGATTGACTTCTCACACCGCTTCGCGCACAAGGTCACCCAATCAATTCCCCGCACGGTGAACGGGTACCCCAGATACGTAAAAACGTCCACAGTCTCCAGATCAATGTCGTAGAGCGCGAGACGTGCCTGTCGCCGATGTTTGGGTGGTGCGAAGAGTTCGCACTTGGTGGGCGAGAAGCGCATCCCCGCCGTCCTTGACCACTCCTCCGCTACCCCCAATTGCCTCGCCAGCGCCTCGTCCGACCTCGCCACAAGTGCCCCGTCGTCCGCGAAGAAGAGTGCGACAATCCGCACACCGTGCACAGTAAGTCCCGTCCCGTCCAATTCCAACAGTAGGCGGATGAGCTCGTCGATGAAAAAATTGAACACGACGGGCGAGAGCGATGATCCCTGCATCAGGCCACGGAGGTTGTC